TTCATATTTCTATAAATTTTTCACTCATTAATGTTATATCCTTGGTCGTTTTCAAAAAAATGATTTTAACTTTGTCCAGTCTCTCAAAATATTGAGAGAAAAAACAAACAAACAAACTCAAGCAAATTTGGATTCAACAATATAACACAATGTTTACACAAGTAGATATTGAAATTCAGTCATTCCTACTTTTTCATGTTGTTGCTTATCCTGTTGCTGGCCTGATGAAGTCAGACCAGATCTGTGAACCCGTTGACCTGAATGAAATTGAAGACCAAAAGAGGAGTCGAGTAGATGTCTTCCCAGAGAAGACAGTTCAGGATGTGATCGGCGGAAGCCCGGTGTAGATGGCATTTAGGGCAGAGGGGGTAGGTTTTAATTCCCTCAGAAAATAGTAAACCCTTTAGATGGCCGGTAGCTAGTCAGAATCTCCTTTCAAAGGGAAGAGTCAAAGAAACTCCAGGCTTATTACCTTTGTACCAATTACTTTTTCATTATTGTATATCATTTAATTGCTCATTTTGCAATAATTATGATTCCGCAGTGGACTGATCGTTAAGACACGGTTCCCAGCAGATCACCGAAGTCAAGCATTACTGGCTGCTGTCAGTGTGCGGGTGGGTGACCACTGGGATTAGTCTGCGTAGGGATCGAGGGTGTGCTGTATTGGTCCTCGTTAAACTTTGCTACCGTAAAGTGCTCGACTTCGCTTGCAGGTAGTTGGGCTATCGAAGCGGGGGTACCATCCCCTCTGCAGAGGATCAAAATTGTGATGGCATGTCTTGATGTTTCCCAGACCGCCGACAATAGCCCATTGTGCAGCTCTAGTGCGACGTAAATGAACTACAACAAGCAATAATTATGAAAAATGGCAATGTTTACAAAAAAAAGTATATATTTATTTAAAAAACAAATTGAAAATATATATTTATTGGAGGACAGAATTCAATCCACTGGATCATTTCTAATGACTTTTCAGTTTTCAGAGTAGCACTCGCGTGTACAGTGCGCCAGAAAAAGAAAAACGGGATTACCCAGAATAACTTTTGATCTAATGTTTCTCTGTCTTAACGGTTAGACTTCAAATAGGCTAATTATTAAAATTATTGAAAAAATCATGTAGAAGTGGTCGAAAAAACGAAGTGAATTTACGACTGAATTGTCGTTAGTCAAAAAATGATTGCCCAAATTCGAATGTTGTCATAAAATTGCATTCAAAAAACTATGTAAAATTAGGCGAATTCTGTAATATTTACATTCAAGGGGTGCACATTTTTCAAGAAGAAATAATTGCTTCCAATGCAATAGGATTAAATGGAAGAGATCCTAAATGAACACAAATAATAAGTTTAGAAATCATTTTAAATTTGTTCAAACCAAGTTTTAAACAGGTTTTGTTCATTTACAGAGTTATTTCACATCTTAATTTTTAGAAATTTATTCATAAAGCTATTTCAATTAAACCAAATTTATCATTAAGAAAATTAATTACTTTAAAATTCTTGGATTTTCGTTTAGAAAGTTTTTTTTTCTACATCGATCCTATTCTATTAAAAATAATTTTAATTTTAAAAATCAGTCATAATGGTGATTTCAAAACTTCATTTTAGTGAAAAGAAATATTGAACTATAAAATTTTCAAGTTTTATAATAAGGAGATATTTTCAAACTATAAGCTAAAACATTTCATCTTTAAAATACAAGACAATTCAAGCAAATAAACAAAAGGTAGTCTTATTTTTTAGAATCTTATTTATTGTTTTCTATTTTTATAAAATATTTTTTCTAGTTGTTATGCTATTCTAATATTTTTCCATATTTCTAATTATATCTAAAATATAAAATCTTTAAACTTAAATATCTTTTGATTTGTATTAAAATTATATCTTTTAATTGGTAATAAGAAACATTTAATAAATTTTTAGAGAAATTTCGTCAATACAAATATTAATTTAATTATAACAAGAAAATGTAAACAAGTACTTCAACTGTTTTTATTTCAGTTTAATAAATAAAATCATCTTTTTTTTGTAATATCTCTTTTATATCTTTTTTACTGAATCACAATTTAAATGAGTTGATTGAGAAATATGAGATTTAATTTTTTTGCCTTTATGGAATTAAAAATTAGGTTGTAAATATATTGTTGTATGGTATTACTTCATTAAGCAAAATTACATTAATATTTGAAATGTAATATATTCCAACACTTTTGAAATGATATTTTAAAAATTTTAAGCTTTTGAATTTTTAAGAATGCAAAGTTATTAAATATAGCCCCCCTCCATAAAAAGTGATGGTAATGAAAATCTTACCACTTTTAACTCTTAAAACATAATGTTCAAAACATTTTATTTTAATGTTCTAATTAAAGTTCTGGGTGTTAACAAAATAAATTATACTCACCTGACATTGGAAAAAAAGTTGTACATAGATAAATTCAGATATCCCCCCCTTTTTTTTAATAAAGGTGTAAATCAAATTATTTTATATCACTGTAAGAGAAAGTGCCTGCTTAAGCACCAGAATTTATTTTGTCATTTCAAAATTTAGAAGAAGAAAAAATCTATGAAATAAAATATTTGTTTTGTTCATTTTAGCTTGTTTTCAGTACTTAATTATAATATATTTCTATTCTATTTTCATAATATTTGTATCAAGGCATTAGCATAAATTACTATAAAACATTGTTTTTTTAATTAAGTACTACAGATTCAAATACATTGTCATAATTTATTTCTAAAAATAGTTTTGTTTTTTGTTACAAAACCTTTTTTTCGGGATTTCATTTCGCAAATCTGTTTTGTTCTACTTGCTCTAGCCATTTCATTCCTTTATATCTCTTACCATACCTTTCTTCTAAATTAAATTTTAAATTTCATGATTGATATTTTTTACATGCTAATCTACATAGGTTGTTTTTATAAAAATATTTTGATCTGTTGTACAGACTAACTATTGATCTGATTATGATTTCATCCTTGAAATTTAATTAGTAATAATTCACTTATAAACAGAGAAGAATCGTTTCAGAGAAACATGCTCATCAGGAAAATGTGAGGACTGCTATACGCAAGTATGGCAGTCCATCCTATGTGCAAGTTTAGTTAAAAAAATACCTCACAATTTAACTTTCATCTTTAAAATCAAAAGTGCTGTTCCAATATCCTTTACCAACATTTTCAAGAACATCTTCACCATTAACACTCATCAGTCAGTTATATAATCTGGGGGAATTCTGAAAATAAGTTTCTTTTTCAACTTATTAATTCATCATAAAAATCACAGATCGTGCGTAATAGAAATTAGCAGTAAATATATATATGTGTGTGTTTTATAGGAAATATAGGAGGTTTTTCTATATTTTCGGTAAAAAATATACGATTTATAGGAAGTATTCTTAAACAAACATATACATTGCTGCCAACTAAGATAGGAAAAAATCCAGTAGGTTTTACAAAATAATATAAATTTCATGATAGCTGTTACATAATATTTTAAATATTTTTCATACAGGAAATTTTATTGTCATTAAAATACAAAACTTTTATTACCCTAATAACTATAAATTATCTGCAATATTTTCCATTTATGATTGGCATTAAATGAATTTTTATTATGATTAACTTTAATTTTTGATTTTAAATAATAATAAACAAGTATCTTTCATTATCTAGTTTATTATTATTTAAAATAAAAATCTTTTATTATTGATAATTAAAAGATTTTACAATTCAAAAAGGGAGTTTTTAATAAAAATAAACTGAAATTTTTAGAAAAAAGAAAAGTTTAAAACTGATTACTATAAGTGAGGCAGTTTTGGGGGCCCCTACTATAAAATAATTAGTAAAAATAGACAGTAAAGAAGATATTAGGTATCGAATAATATTTCTAAATAATTCAGTGAAGTCCAGAAATGTGAAGTCCTCATTAATTCTTATAAGCTAAAAATAATGACAGTAATAAATATATTACACTTGATCAGCTATTTTTATACTAGAATACATAGTTATTAAAATTTATAGTCATAACTTTTGACACACTAATAAATAACGTATAATAAAAAGAGCACATTTCAGGCATGCATTTGCTGGATGAAGAAATTATTTGAATTTTTTTTTAAATATGTGTTGTTTTTAATTTTCTTCTTATTGTACATAGAAGATAAATAAAAGATTGTCATTCGTATGCACAAAAGTAACATTTATATAATTTAAAGAGAGAAAGAAATTTTTTTTTATCTAATAAATTTTCTCATTAATAAAACAATGTATATATATTGAAAAAAAATAGATATTCCTCATTCTTCGCACTTAGAGAGTAATAAACAGCAATAACTGAGGGAAAAAAACCCAAATAGTTCGTAACATTGCAGGGATTTAATGGAAATAGAGTGTGTCAAAAAGTATTTATGCAAAATTCTTGTTGATTAATAATATCATATAAAAATATCAGGATTTAAAAAACCACGTGAATATCAATAGCAATATTTTTGAAAAATTACAATGAAAAACTAGTGGTATCTTTGCGGGAAAAGTAACTAATAAATGTACGAATCAAATTTTGTGTATCATAGTAATAATGTTTAAAAAATATAGGGATTTTTAAGAAACAATGAGAAAATTTGTAGCAATAATAGTCGATAAAACGATTGAAACACCAAATATTTCCTAGATTGTGGGTACCTCCCCTATTTTGAAGGTCAGAAATCTGAATCTGTCAAAAAGGTATTATATTCAGAGAAGAATGTTTTTTTTTGTGTTTAAATTTGTAACTTAAAATATTGTTTGTACTAATTAATGAGCATATTTGAGGTCACCCCCTCGAACCATTAAGATTGCGTCCTAGAACATAAAGATCCGATCATTAGATCAAAAGTTATTCAGGGGGGTCCGTTTTTTTTGCACACTGTACATTGAATTTAATTAACTTTCAAAAATTTTCTTTTTACTAAATTGTAAAATAAGTTCTGTTTTATTTTTAATTAATAGTTTCTAATATGACATGTTCTCTATTTTTTATTTGAAGGCATAATGTAACACATTCCAAACATGAAACATAACATGACTTCATTTGTTTAAGATACTAATTTACTTAAATTTCGCAAATTATAAAATTGTGAAATGCTAAATGCATCAAATTAACAAGACACAGAGGAACATTTTTAAAAAAAAATATCATTTATAGACATTAAAATCATTTTTATGTTTTGTATTTGGTGAAAACCAAATAATAAAAGATTAATATACTGTTCACCACATTTTTACTGTAAAAATATATAAAATATAGCGTCACGTTTTAACAATAATAATAACAAAAATAACTTCTCTATCAATAATTTGATATAAGTTGTAGACATAATCTCTTAAACAGCTTAGGAAATAAGCCTAATTTTTATATTAATCCCACATTATCTTGTAATGAGCAATCATTTTAAAGTAAATAGGAACAAGAGCATCCATTACAAAAATAAGAATTGTAACAATTATAAAATAAGATTTTACATTATTATGCGAAACCTGTACCCATTGGAATAAAAATTGCTTTGGAATATGTTGATTCTAATAAGAATTTAGATGTTTTTGTTTTATCCAAGCTGTTTGCCAGATTTTTACAATTAAATATTTTCTTTGGTTGAATAGAATGATAGGAATCATAAATAAAATCAGCTCCATCCTCTGTGAACCATATTGCATCAATATTGAGATGGGAACTTAAATGTCGAGTCAAATAAGGTCTGGAACTTGAAACAACATTTAACACACCACCAGGTAATCCAGAAGCTTGAAAAACCTAAAATTAGAAAGAAAAGAGACATTGTGTAATAATTACGTAAACCAGGGCAAATTTCTATCATAGGAATCAAACAAAGATAAAAATAAATATATAACATTTTGTTAAATAAAAATTACGTTTAAGAAATATTTTAATAGGTACCTGCAAGTGAAGTCATTATAATAAATAATGACAATTTGTCAATTCAGAAGCCAATCAGGTGAGACTTCGCTTACAGTCATCCAATTAAATCTGATTTGAATCACATGGTTAGGCATAATCACTTCAATACTTCTTGAGTTTTAATACCTTATTTGTCTTTATTGTTTGGTTCAGAGAGAGAAACAAAAACCATATTTAAAAGTTTGACACTATTGAACTCAGCAGACAATGTTGTCAAAGTTTACTGCACTTATCTTTTTTTTTAAAAAATAAGCCTGAAAGTTAGATTTTCAATTTTTAGAATTCTTCTTATTTAATATTTATTTATTAATTTTTCCAAAAAACATGTTTTATTTTAATTCACTCTTACATATTAATATATTATTTCATTTTAATCATGATAGTTCTTTTATATCATGATGTATCTATACATATAAAGAGTGACAAACTATTGATAGGATCATTTTTTTCATGTCCTTTAACTGGGTGCGTAGGCAAATCTTTCAATCAAAAATAAGCACCTTTTAAGCACTTTTCAAGAATTTTCAAGCATTAAAAAAATTCACATTCTATCAATGAAACAAAAAAGTAATCAAGCACACATAAAAAATTGATGTGCATGTGCATTTTTGGCAGGCCTTGGGCAGCTCTTGTATTCGTTATTTGCAGTTCATAAGGGGTTAAAAATACATCTCCCCATTTCTGATGTTATTGAAAAACAAAAACTTTTTTTAAACAGTTTTAGCTCTAAAAAAACCCAAAAAGAAACGGACGTAAATCGACACAATCAGTACTTTCCCAAATCACTGGTCTAATCCAAATAAATTCAACTTGATCCTTGTGCATGAATGATTCCCTAGCACTTTTTAAAAACGCCAGCTGAAAAAAGCACCTTTAAGTGCTTTTAAAACCAATTCCTCCAAAAAAGCACCTTTAAGTACTTCCTAAAAACGCTAGGCACCCTGTTTAATATATAAGGTAAGTAGTGCTAAAATGTCAATATTTTATTTATTCCTTGTGTTAATGCAAGTTAAATATAGTTCTCAATCACCTTTACATACATACAATGTGAACAACAGTCATTCAAACAATTACAGTCAGCACAAAATCCTACAGAACTAGGCTAAAGTGGGGCTGCTTACTGGCATGTTTAGACTAAAATCAACAGTCATACTCTGTTTTTTATATTTTTTCAAATTTTTAAGGTATTACTGAGCTAATGATGATGTAGAATATACATAAGAATATTTAAGAAATATTTACAATGAAGTAATAGATAAAGTGTTGAGGAGAAAAAGAATAATAAGAAAAGAATGGCTTACAGGTGAAACAATGCTTATTGAAATTCACAATAGGAAACTCCTTATTACTGATCAGAAGATCAAGGAAAGATAAGAGGCAATATTTTAAAGAAACATTAAATGCAAACCGCGTCAAGGATTTGGTACTTGCATTTCAAGAAGATCACGGATACCCACACGGATAGCTAACTGATCATTCATAAAATCGTGTGTTAAAGTTCGGTTAAGTTTCTCCACACAAGTTAGAAATGTTAATTAAATAGAGTATTGAATAGTGAAAGAGCACTAGAACAATGGAGAAAAGTTGTAACTAAAAAAATTTCCCAAAAATGATGATCAAACAATGTTAGAGAAGCATCAGTCTTCTTTTAATACCACAGGAAATTGTTTTTAAAAGAATACTATTAAACAGATTAAAAATATTTGGTTCATGGAATACTAAGAGAGGAACAAAGTTAGGAATTTTAATACATCTTTATACTTACATTTTATTGAATTTAAGCAGAACTTTTGACTCGGTAGAAAGAGGAAAATAATAGGAAATTTTATCAGCTAACAAAACACCACAGAAATATATAAATAATAAATGATAGCAATAAAGCATGCATTGAAATAAATTAACAGTTCATCAATTTTTTCTTGGCACGAGACTAGGTGGTAATTTCAGCATCTAAACATACAGACCTTCAACTTAAAACACTTTTAATAAATTTTGAAATAATAAAGGTTTATGCATGAATAAAATGAAAATTAAAGTAATAAGAATGAAAGTAAATTTGAAATCTAGAAACAGAGGAATCATTTGACTATTTAGGTTCAGTTGATGATAAATGAGGCTGCAGTGGTGAAGAGAAATAAGGCAGAGAATAATTAAAGCGAGAACATGTTTTGAAGGACTGCATAAATTCTGGAGAGCACCAAATATTGAAATAAATGCAAAAATAGTTACCAGAGAAGTTCTACTTTATGGTTCAGAGGCGTGAATGTGGGCAATAGAAAAACAAAAATTAGAAACCTCTCAAAACAAATTTTTGACTATACGAGGTAAAACAAAAATCTTTTGAAAAAAATTAAAAGACAATAGAAAAGAAAATTCTTAAATGAAGATGGAACTGGCTGTTTTGCTTACTTAGAATGGGTTCGAAGAAGGTAAGTAAGTAAAGTACTGTACAGAATATAGCGTAACTTTTTAAAAAAATATGTTATGATATATTTGCACTTTTCAATAAAGAAATGTATTGAATATCCTGGGTTATAAAAAAATTCTATCGGTCTAAGGTATACACATTTACTTACACATTATGTGCAATTCATACATTTGATTTTGTAAATAAAGATACATAATTTTTCTCAATAAAAATTTAAATTTTTACCAACATTTTGATAGTTTTTATAGTCAAAAGTCTTGTGAAAAAAAAGTTTCATTTGCACCATAGATCAATATCCACTATAAATCATATAAATGCTAAGAACTCTGTATTTAATAAGATTCATTTAAAAAAATAAAACTTTTCAGTGATCTTGTTTACTGATACAAAGTAACAATTCACAGAAATTATCATACTTTATATTAGCTTTCAGAAGTTTTGATGTTCATGTTTGATTTTTCTCAAAGGTAATTTTTTGCTCAAGCACAATATTTCAAAATTATTATTTTTTATTATTTTTTTAATATACCTTGCTTAATGTCAACATAGTTTCCTTTTTACTTACATTATACAATAACTTCTATTTAATTTAGTTATAATTGAAAAAATTATGACTAAAAAAAATTCAAAATTTAAAAAAAAAAAAAAAAAAAAAAAAAAAAAAAAAAAAAAAAAAAAAAAAAAAAAAAAAAAAAAAAAGAGAGACCATATATGCCAAGTTTATGAGACAAAATGCATACATTACACGTGGTAAAAAAAAGCATATTGAAATTACAAAATGATTGCAATTCTTTGTGCTAAAGGGTGAAAAATTAGTATTTAAAATCAGGAGATGGGAAAAGAATAAAAATTAAAATTAATTAGTAAGATTCAAGTGAGTTATCTTTTACAGAGCAGATTTATTTTTGACTAATTAGAATAAAGCTAATATAAGATAAAATGATCAATAGTTATATAAAAATAAAAATTTCTAAGTTGTGATCAATATTCTAATAAGATAATGCATTTATTAGATCTTATTTTCATTGTAAATAATAAACATTGAAAACATCAAAAGCTATCATTGTGGAATAATAAATACAATGGAATAACAGAAATGCATTAAAATATCGATTCATATAAAGCAAGTATTAATATGATATATATAATACACGCTTGGATTATAGTGTAAAAATGTATAGTAAAAAAAAAAAAAATTTATTAATAATTTTTTATGTATTTATTGTTTTCTTTTTAGTAACAGAAATTATGAATCAGAAATATGAGAAATAGAAACTCAATTTCAAAAGGAATTATTAAATGGGTGTTAGTGCAAGAAGTTCATTTATTTCCCTTAAACATGCACAATTTTTTAATATTCAAATCTTTTTCATCATTAGGCCTGAACATATTGATACACTCACCATAAAAACATATTAACACAACAAATAGTGTGCTACGCTTGAAGTAAGTAATAGTATACTTAGATGTACTGTTTTACATTTTGTAAAATGCACAGGTCACAAATTCCAGACGTGTCCATCAAGAGGGATGCCATACAAACCACTAGAAAAACTTTTCATATTTTCCAGTCAACTTTTTGAGCCTCTAAATTGTAATGATAAATGAGGAGTTGACTTAGACATCAGTAATAAATTTGAGATTGGTATAAACATATTAAATGATCTTAAAAACCTATCTGATTTGCGAGATAAATACAGACATGAAAAGTAATGCAATTATAAAAGTATCAAAACTTTTTAGAGTTAATCATACATCTTTAGAGTCGATGCTGTATCGATGAGAGAAATCTAAAATGCCTAAACTGCACCAGCATCATACATTGAGCTTGCTGTATCTTTGTGATTTGTTAAAAATTTCGTTTTTCAACAAGTGTGAATTAAAAGGCCAAATACAGTAAACACAAAACTAAATCTTCCAAGTTGAAAATAGGAGGTCAAATTATATGCAGGAAAATAGGGTGTGTTGTAATCTGGATGTTCTTGGAATTATTTACTGAAACAAACATAGATGTTCTTACGTAACCAGAAAATATAACTTTTGCATAATGTTTCTACACCATCATTTGTTCCATCTAACTTTTTTCTGGATAGTAATAAAACTAATTTTTTTGCAAGTGGAGTGGAGTTAGTGCTGTCATAACTATTAATAAAACAAATTTCTGGCTAAAAATAGCAGTTGAAATTTTAAAAAAAATTATTCCATGATAAATGAATTTACGTTTAAATAAAAAAAAAGCTTAAAAAAAATATATTGACTTGCTAGAAAAATATTGCATAGGAGAAACTATATGGAAGAAATTTAATGAAAATGACAATGCACCCCCTATTATCTTTATTGATTACATTTGCAATAGGGTATATTTTCAGAGGTCTAATTTTAATACAATTCAGACCTCTTTAGTTATATCCCTATTCTTACAACTTGTATTCTTTATTATTTTACTTTCAGAGAAATTTTAGGATGAAAATCGACTGAAACTTATATAGTAATTAAAGCACCTTTTTTTTAAGCGTTTAAATAATAGCTCCAATTATGCATGCCAACAAAAAGTCCACTGTATCAAAATATAGCGTATGGTCTCAATCGATACAGATGATTGGAATTCTATTTTTAATTGAATTTTTAAAAAATAATGAAGGTAAAAACTAATTTTTTTTTGCTTCATGTTACCTTATATCGGAAACTTTTTTCCTTTCATATTGATTTCTTGCTACTGGATCAACACACACACACAAAAAAAAAAAAAAAAAAAAAAAAAAAAANAAAAAAAAAGAAAAAAAAAAAAAAAAAAAAAAAGATATTTAAGTGCTCTTACTTCACATATTTTCAAGGCACAAGTAGGATATCTCTCACTTGATATGGCAACAACAGAATTTCCAAAGATAATGGCTGGGATGATCAAAAATACAAAAGAAAGTAATGGATCTTTGTCCGGACACTGTATTCCAATAATGCCTAAAGGATGATACTCTTGAAACACTTTACCATACAATTTCGTGTCCTGTTGATAAATAAAATAAGTTTTCAATAAATAGGCAGAATGAATGAAAATAGAAGAGCTTAGTAATATTCTGAAAAAAAAAGACATGAAATTTAGGGCTTACAAAATTATATGTTCAGCTGCAAATAATAAACAGTAACTTGAATTTTTCTTCTCCATGTTATTCAATAAGATAGGTTTTATTAGAAAAATGTGTTGGTAGGCATTTTTCTACTGTTATAGTTCTAAATGTGATTTTCCTACAAATGCCACTTAGAACCTATTTCCACTAAGCCATTTCTATTATTTTAGCAATTTTTAAATGTAATAATATAAATAAGACAAATGGTTCTGTTACTTATTCAGAGAAACAAAAGAATTTTCTTTCGAATAAAAGAAGTTTCTTTTTTTTATTTAAAATTTTTTAGGAAACAGAGGTTGTTCAATGATTTCGAGACATATGCATTAAGCTTTCTATACCATGGTAAAGAATCAAAGTTGAATCAGATTCTTATACATATTAGAATATTTATCAAAGCTTATGGTCAAGTTTTAACTCCTAAACTTTTACGTGCATTTTCAGAGATATTTGCCGTTGATGGACTATTTATGCGAAATGTCAGAAAATTTCAGAGGGTGATATAACACAATTTCTCTCAGAAAAAGTAAGAGGCACAGTTACATCTTTGAAAATTAGAGGTGAGCAATCTGTTTTAAACCTTCAACGCTAACTTTAAGGTAAACTATTTGCTCAGAGCCATTGAATTTCCAGGCATTTGAGTCCATTGCAGCTCATAGAGGACGAAAAGTTATATTCTGTTTATCAAGCATTTTGAACAACTCCAAAATGAATGTTCCAATTCATGCATTAGAAAGTTCAAACACCTCTCATCCCTTTGTTCCACAACCTGTCTCTTTTTTTTTGTCCATAATCATAAGTTAAAACTTCAGACTGTTTAAGGGACTTACCTATAGAAATTTTAATAAGGGCTGATTTTTATTGGACAATAGTACACACTCAATTGCCTATTCAACTTTCTGCAATGTGTGCTAATACCCACTATGTTTGGATGGATTCTCTCGGGCGACCGTTCATTTGCTACCATAGCACTTTCTTCCTTCTCTTCAGTTCAAAAACATCAGTACAGTAATTTCGGTATCAGTTCTCGACAAACACGTCAGGGAATAGGGCCAGGATAGCCTGGTTGGTAGGGTATTGGGCCCATGTCCAAGAGTTTGTGGGTTCGATCCCGGCCGAAGACTCCCCGTGTAGTAAATGGTGACTGATGCACGTTAAATATGTCGATTCGCAAAGTCCTCCATGTTCCCAATATAAATCACTAACTCTGGGGGTGCTGATCCAGGAGTTTCCTTGTCTTCTGGTTTGGTTCAAAATTAACAAGGCTACGGAGTTGAACATTAGTAGTCATAAACCCAAAATTGGGTTGGCTGTTCAATGACGGATATAAAATAAAATAAAACACATCAGAGAATTTGGAAACAATAGGAAAAGAAGTTAATGAGAAAAAAGTCTGGTCTAGGCATAACCTTGAAATACTAAAAGATTTTGACAATTCCTATGAGGAAGAGCTTCATCCTTGCAAAATATGGAAAAGAGCTCTTCTTCTCAAACCAATATCTGGGAGAGATGGAGCTGTGAGAACTGTTCATTTGCAGTGTGGGGACAAGATCCTGTCACATTCTCTGCAATGGGTCATTCCCTCGGAGATAGACCACAGGTGGAGAGGATGTTCTGAACCAAGGTTTGCAGAAACAAGCACTGACTTTTCTTTACTCCTAAAAGAACTGAAAAATGCTTTGTTCTTTTTCGGTCATACTTTCTGTTTATTAAATACATGTGTTCTGTCTTCTATATTTCTGTCTAATAACAGAGTTTAAACTTAATATATTCCTGGGTAAAATTGGGCTGTCAATTATTTTACGTGCAAATAAAAAATAATAATGTCACTTAATGCTAAGCCAAAGAAATATTTTGCCTTTGTTTTAGAGAAGTGTTAAAATTTTCCTTCAAATCTCGCAAGAATGGACATTTCATGGACAACGAATAATATAAAAAAAGTATTGGTAAACATGTGTTTTACTTTATTAGATTTTTATTTTGCAATCAGATAAAAGATACTTTTATGGTTGCATTTAAAGACAGTTGTGTTACACATTAACTATAAAAAAATACAAAGACAGAGTTGTCTATACTTTTAACGTTGTAAGCCAAAAACTTTAGTAAATAATTATTCAAGCGACTGGTCAAATCAAAGCAAATAAGAGAGATGTGTTATGAACTGATCTAAAATTTTTTTTAAAACTTTGTATTCCTTACATTTATATAAACCAAATAGATCAAATCTAACAAAAAAATTAGATGAGACTATAAGCTGAAAATTTACTTAGATCTAGAAATCAATGAACAAAAGCAAATTTGGAATAAATTACATAAAAAATAAAATTGATAAGAATACTCTTTCTGAAAATAAGGCAAAAACGTGAAAAAAATTGTAATTACCACAATTCGACCTTCAAATTGAGCAATGTGATTTGCCCAGTAAAGTAATACAGTAACAGCTTGCTCAACTTCTAAGGAAAAAAATTCTTTGATTTTGCCAGTAATCATGCACAATTCTGATGCTAACTCTTCTTTCTTCTCATTTAGAATTTCTGAAGCTTTACGAAGAACAGCAGCACGCTTCATTTTGTTCGTACACTCCCACCTACAAAAAAAGTAACGTTACATTGTTTACTTCTGCTTAATGCAAGCATATCATTTATTTTGTATGTAATTAAAATATTAATTTTAACTTAAGTTAAATAAAAAAACTGTGTTTTAATAATTTTAATTTAAAGTATAAATAAAGATGTTTTCCTAGTATATGTGGTTTATGATGCATTTATCATTATTTAGTTAATACTTAGAAGTATAATTTTCAGCAGTTATTTTCTTTGATGTCTTTAAATGTCAGTGAAAAGTAATACAGTCGAACCCCGCTATAGTGAACCTGGGATATAGTGAACACTCGGATGTAGTGAACTTTTTTAGCGGTCCCGTCCGTATTCCTATTTAAATAATGTTATTTTTAACGCTTATAGTGAACAGCTTAGAACTTGGAAACTCGGTTATAGTGGACTCAAATTTCATTTCTTTAAATATCTTTTTCAGTCCTCCATCTTTAAACTTGTAGGTGTTGGGACTGAAAATGAATGCATTCCTATAAAATGTGTCATATTACTCTCCTTTATGCTTATCACTTTTAACTATACTGTAATAAATGTCAAACA